GATCATGAAGAAATTATACATGAATTTGTACGTAGTAGACAATTCTTAGGAATCTACATGAATATGTACGTAGTTGACATTTTTGCATACGTAGTAATTGATGGGTTGGGGGCAAAAGCAAACGGTTGAATTGAGGGGTTGTTTGTTTCTGATTTTGAGAATTGATTTTCAAATCAATTCTCATTTTCAACCACACATTTTTCAATAAAATAATATTTTCCATCACATCAATAATTTTTTCTTCTTTTTCAACTACACATTTCCCATCATATCATTATTCAAAATCAATTTTTCCCCCAAAAATCTCTACCAAACAAGCACTGAATCTGGTTGGGAAGGGGCAGATGACGTTGAAACGAAATGTACCACATTATTTCTGACTCACTCACGCCCACTTTTCTGTCGTGACATTTTCACTGACATCCCAAATGTCTTTTAATTTGGTGTAATACACGGAAACGGTCATTCCCTGTTGTAAGGTATTCATCAGTTCGGTTTTCAATTGATGAATGCGAGGAGCGTTGCCTTGTGAAAATCGTTCTTCAAGGTCATTCCACATCTCATGTGCCGTCGTGAAGTATGCTATACTATCATGAAGGGTAGGATGAAGGGAATTGAAAATCCAAGAAATTACCATTGAATTGTACTTGATCCATTCAAATTCTTCTAGTGAACCAGAAGGTGGACGTTTGATAGATCCATCTACAAAACTAAATTTGCTTTTCGTCTGAAGTGCGTTGGTCATTGCACGACGCCACGTCGGATAATTCTCTTCTCCGAGAAGACATGTCACTAAAATGGTGCCTGGGTTATCAGAAGCGTGAAGGATATATGGTGATGAGGCATCATAATTGGATTGGACATTATTTGTGTTGTTGTTTGAAGCATTAGAAATCATAGGGATAGGGCTCTCTTCGTCTATGATAGAATGAAAAAAGAAAAACAAAAATACCCTAGGATTCTAACTGCTCTGATACCATGTTAAAAGGTAAAAGGAAGATGGTGAAAACACACTTTTCATTACTGGGGAAATTAGTTATATACAAGAAGGACTTAGAATAGTTCCATAAATTAAGGATACAAATTGATACTAAATGGAATGCAAATCAAAGATATTGAAGGTAAATGGAATGCAAATATTGGAAATATTTGCAGTTTGTAAGTCGTCTAATAGAAATCCTTGTCATCAACTCATCATAATTCATAATCAGGGCTAAGAGAGTTCGAAAGTAAATTTATTGTTGAGTTGC